CTCAGTTGAACTTCTTCCAGAGTGCACTTGATGGGTGAAGCAGCATTGGTGTTTGAAATTAAATGTAACCGGCGAATGTGCTTACTTTTTGCCAGTTCGGAGTATACGTCGCTTGCACTATTGAGTGTTCTAAGATCCTCGGCCTCGCTTTACAGATGCAAGTCGTGCCTTGTGCAGATGACGCTCCATCTTCGGGGTAGTTTGCGGAATTCAGCAGCGAGTCTTATCTGCCGTAGTTTTGTAGGTAAAATTGTTGGTTGTATGATTTCGGAAAAGACTACCGCTTGTAGACATTGAACACTGAATCGCACTCATCTACGACGACCCGAAGTCCTCAGACGAGATGAGTTTGAACTTCAACTCTCTTCCTGCATCGTCACTGAAAATATCTGTGCCATCACGAATCGCTGACCAATTGTGGGAGAAGTTTGGTACGTGTATCCAGGGGAATATCTTGTTGGCCCAGAGTCTTTCAACGTCATTGCCGCAATAGCCTTGGTCAAGCCGCTCTAGGAAACTCAAAAGTAACTCGGCAACAGAGAAACTGAGATTTGAGGCTCCATCGATTATCATCCATCACACGGCACGATACATGCAGAACAAATGCGAAACTAGCGTACCATGATGCTCCACGATCAGTGTCAAATACCTGGTATGGTTCAAGTAGGTGTTTCGAGTACATATAAAACACATTAGCCGACATGTATGACGCCCTTCTTTTTTTGATATATTGAATCAAGTACGAGTCTGTAAGTCATGCAATGACGTGGGCAAGTGGTGAGAGCCTTAGTCTAAGAACTGTCAACGGAATATAAGGGGGTATAATTGCTATTCGATTAGAGCGCGTTCTTTTTCGTGATAGTTATGAGCCCGGTTAGCGTAATGGTATAATTTACCGTAATTCCACGCACCTCTTATTTGACTACCTTCCAGTTTGAGACCTACATGCGGCATATTTTAAGGGATTTTCAGCTGCCTAACGTGAATAACCCTATTAAGCCTACTACTAAGCCTAGCGTAACTAGCCACAAGCACTATAAAAAAAGCGCTACTAGTAGTAGCCAACCACTATCCAGCTTACATTATAGCTGTAATACCACAACTTCAATCTAAACTGCGGGGGTGTGTCAACGGAATATAAGGGGGTATAATTGCTATTCGGTCAGAGCGCGTTCTTTTTCGTGATAAGAACCAACCCGACATCGTTCATAGGGATCTGACTGAGATATTTTACAATCTGTGCAGTTTGTTTTTCGTCCCGTATGTTAGAAATTCGTGCGTCGGGCGACAATTGGTTGGTGGCCAGCTTCTTTACCCGGTTTCTTGTGTGCAGTGCTGCCTGTTCGCCTCAACTTCTGCAGTGCAACTTCAAACGCCCCAGATGAGTCCCTCCACATTCCGGTCTCACTCTTGGAAGAGGAGGCGGGCACTTGAAGGTCTACCGAGTTGAGTGATGATTATATTAAGCCACGCTTTTCCTCCTGATTTCTTGCTTCGGAACTCATGGACTACATCAAGTCGGCATTGTCAGACACTTGTTCCAATCTATTCGACAAACAGCAGACAGCTCCAGGTCTAATATCTACATGTCTGAGCCTGAAGAAGAAACCAATCAAGTCGCTATACGAGATCTTTCAAGATATAAAATCAAGCAATGCCTCTTCCAAGACACAAACTATTGAGCAACTAAAGGAGGAGGTTGGGAGTGGAACAGAATGCGATGTGCGGACCTTACATGAAGGACCAGCTCAATGCCAGTGCCGCAAAAATTAGACTGACGTTTATCCGGATGACCTCAGAAGTTCCATGGAGCAAGAGGCCGAGACCAAGAAGAAAGTCCTAGTGATTCGACTCGGGAAAGCCATTAGGAGGACAAACCGCTGGTTCTGGACTCCGTAGTCGTACAGAACGAGCAGCTGAAAGAGCTACTAGGTCGGGTCTTCCACGGATACGAGGGGATTACGGAAATTCTGAAGAAACTTGTGTTTAGGGCCCCTTTTCGCCCTCTTTTTCACTGCTGGAGCTTGTTCAAGAACCTGGTTGCTTGTTGCAGAGCAGAAAGCCAATGGAGAGGATGCATCACCATACTCTCAGCTTTTCTACAGAATTCTTCAGATCGAGCTATGAGAGACAAAACGAGGTCAAGGACCTATACAGCAAAGGAGTCATTACGTATGGACTTTCTTGGGCGTTATTCCAAGCTGGCATGCGCCTCTACGCACCTATGTATCGACCCGCTCAGTGGAATCATGGAAATTACCGAGCTGAGTACATATCCTTCAAAGTCGTTGACGTAAAAGATGTGACATGAAGCGACGACGCCTTTCCCAGTTTGATACTTCCCTGATGCCAAAAAGGCGTGACCCTCGCATTTATGGACGGCCAGCTAACATATCATGAATTTGATGATGTGATCAACGGAAAGGGGCCAGGTCTTACCATTCTGCTGGTAGGAACACCGGTCACTGGCAAAACGCTTACCGCGGAGGCTGTGGCTAAAAATGTCCCCGCGCCCGCCGGCCCTCCTCCC